TGGAAGCCGCTTGGCCCACAGGCCACGCGCCGGGGAGCCCGCTCACCCCGCCGGGAGGGTCATTTGAGGACTAGCTGAAATGTGAGTTTCATGTGACAGGGGCGCGGGCAGGATAGCGGGGCGCCGCGGCCTCTAGCGGGCCCGGGGGGCAACTGCAGGTTGCTCCGCTGCGCCTCCTACCGAGAGCGGGGAGAGCCAATGAGCGCTGTCCGCAGAGCATGCCTCTCCCACGGAGCCCAGCCTCTCGGAAAGGCGCTTGAGGTGGGTCCTGCTGGAGCCTTCTTACAGCGTGCGAGGCCTTATTGAAACTCGGAAGGCGAGATGGGCGAGGTAATGGCATTTATTGGACCAGCTTCTGATGGTAAAAAGAGACAAGTTTCCCAACAACAGAAGCTGGTCCAGTCTCTGGACGTTACCTTACTCACCCTGTATCCCTATAACCTGGGATCAACACTGCTCCAAGAACACTGCAAACCATCACTGGAAAATGAAAAGTAAGACTTTCGTCTTAAAACAGAATATGCTAGAATCATAGAACCAACCATAGAGCTGGAAGAGACCTCAGATGGTCATCAAGTCCAGCTCCCTGCCTTAGGCAGGACTAGGGAGAGCTAAAACCCACAGTACCGTGTTAAACATGAACCAGCAGACACAAGAGGATTACATTGACATCCCATCTCTACATAAATTTCTTCAGGTATGGGGGGGGGGGTTTAAAAATACTAACAGCAAAATAAAGTCATTAAAATACAAAGAGAATTCACCTGAAAACTTTGTAACTTTGTACAACAAGTTTGAGCGTGGGAAATAATCCAGCAAAAGATGAGACGCATCTGTTAAACAAAAGAGGGAGAGCCATTTGTTTTGTGCCAGTTTTAAGCTTAGTAAAATTCGTGTAGTTTTATGTCTTGTTTTACTCCCATGTTTAAGGTTTTTATCCTCTGAAAGCTGCAGCTACTTTTTACTACATTTGTGTATCTTCCTAAGTTTTAGAACTGCTGTCCTTTAAGGGGAAAGAAAAATAAGGCTATCTGAAGTGTACTGGATAAACTAGTGTCCTTACAGCTTCTGTGTAAGTACTAGTGTAGTAGCCAGTCCAAAAAGCATGAATAAGAAGTTTCTATTGAGAAATTATCTGTAAACTAATACAACTCTGACAACCCTTTAGATTCTAGAAGTATATGTTGGCTGTATGGAATGATCACACCTCAAAGACATAGGTACAATCTGAGACCCAATTGCAATTTAGAAGGTACGGAGTACCATGCATCTTCAACTCCTGATTGCCTGGGAGGAGTTTGGGTCTGTCTTTTCAATATATTTAAAAATAAGTAAAATTTAACAGAATCTGACCAGAAGCTGTGTACTTACCAGCATATGCACAGCATAAGCTGTGTACTTTCAGCATAAGCACATCAGTATCACTTTTTTCTTCCTTCTTCCTATTGTTTATTAAATCCATTTGTTTAAAATTCAGCTTGAAGACAGAATTAAACTCCAGGACAGGAATTCTTCTGTAGGTTTGTACTCTACCTAGTACTGGGCTTGCTGGACAGTAGCACAATGGAAATAAATCAGAATGCTCATATTGTTTCACCTGTGCCTGCAGACTGCAGCAGGCATTTGGATGCCTTAGCCCCAGTGTGATGCATGAACCAGGGAAAGATAATTGTTTCTGTTCCTTAACTTTCACGTTAGATTCATTAAGCCTGAGTTAGGCACCTTTTACAACAAATGGGAAGAGAGAGGCAGCTCAGAATGGGATTTTCCAAAGTCAGAATGCCTTAACTAGCCAATGGAAGATACCAACACAAGAGTGTGTGCTAGGTCCCACCTTCTCAGGGAGTTTGACACCTGGCTGCTGAGAGGTGCCATCCCCCTGCTGGAGAGGGGGGGGGGGAGAATCTCAGCTTCAAACCTCTGGGGTTAGGCACTATGTATTTTTTAAAGGAGCAGGTCTTCCCTCATAACTTGTGGCCTTGTGGTTAGGGTATTCATGTGGCTATGAACCAGGGCTGTCCCCTCTTCTGCCCAGAGAAGAGAAGGGATTTGAATAGAAATGTGCTACCTCTCAGGTGAGTGCTCTAGAGTCATTGGGCTATGGGGTAGTTTGATGTGGAGAATTCCTCCACCTCTCGTGCTGGAGCTTCCTTCCCTCTTCTCCTTCCAGGCTATTTTATGTAAGCTTGCCTATAGTTGGCTGATCTGGTGGGTGGATTCTGGGCATGCTTGCCAGATTGGGCACCACAGATCAATGTTTACAGGCTTAAGTTTCTATGTGAATCTAGTCCTCAGTGACCTTTCTCCCCAGCCTCTCACTGGGTACTTGCTCCTACTGACTTATCACTGGGAGTGATAAGTATTTAGCATCTTTGGGGAAAAAACAACCAACCTCCCTTCCCCACACAGGCCTCTTATTACTTAGATGTCTAACTTGAAGCTCCGAGATTTGCAAAAAAATTGGCTTGCAAGTAGGTTTCAGTGGGGAGTTATGAAAGATTACGCTTTCCAGGCATTGCTTTACCTTGTGTTCTTTGATAGCCATTTTCTGTGAGGTGATTTTGGGGGTGAAGTGGCAGAATGATAAATTTGTCTCCAAGTAATGGTGTTGTTTTCTATCGATCATTTTGTATTACATCATGCTCCACAATTTCCCTTTCTCTTTTGTTATCTCAGCATGCAGTCACACACACACACGCTCTCTCTCTCTCTCTCTTTCTCTTTCCCCCGCCCCAGTCCTACCTCGAGGACTATGCAATCTAATTCAGAACCATAGTGAAAACAACAGATGGATACAAGCTGAAAAAACACATTGAAATTATACAACTTTTTAGAACATCACAAAATAATTGACTTTAAAGGAGGTAGGTGAGGGAACTTGGCACAGAAGATGTAGGAAGTTGCTCAGAGCAGAGGGCAAACACAAGAGAAGACACACAAATGTTTTTAAAAAAATGAAGGGAACAGTTAGAAATGAGTGAGGCTGGGTCTACACTTGAAAATTAGATTTACTGAGCTACATTGTTCAGAGCTGAAGAAATTTTGTGCCCTGAGTATGAAGTTAGTCAACCTAACCTCCTATGCAGATTCAGCTAAACTGATGGAAGAATTATTTTGTTTGCCTAGCTACCATCTTTCTATGCATGGATTAACTACTTGATCATCTATGGAGAAAAATAACCTTTCAATGAGGCAAGAAGCATCTACACTATGACATTAGTTGGTGCTGTACTATGTTCTGTAAACCAGGGATAGGGAATCTATGGCTTTTGGCCTGCTTTGACCTGACTCTCAAGGGTCAGGGCTCCCTCATCCCAGCAGCACGAGCCAATGCTGGTGCTCCAGGCATGGGGAAAGAGGAGATGCTGTGGCTGGAGGGCGCCAGCCAGCTTATGCCACTGCAGGTGAACCCCAAGCCTCAGGTGATCAATAAAGGCAAGCTATGGGCAGAATTGGGGCTGCGAGCTCTGCATGGCAGAGGGGAGGAAGCGGCTTTGCATGGCTCTGTATGCTACAGGGAATGCTTCCCTGCAGCACACCATGTAGGTGTACCCATCTCCTGTACCCTCCTGCCCAGACCCCCACCCTGCTCCTATATCCCTTTCTGCCCAGACCCTGCACTCCCACGCCACTCCTGCAGCTTCCCTCCCAGACCCCCCAGCCTGCTCCAGCACCCTCCTTCTTACCCAGACTCCACATTCCTGAGCCCCTCATTTTAGACCCACCCCAGAGCCTCAAGGGCCCACAAAAGTCTACTAGCCCTGCACCCCCAGAAGTGTTAATCCAGCTGTGGAGGTAAGCCTTGGGCCTTGGTGCCTTGCCCTCCTCCCTCCCACCGTGGGTCTATAGCTTGTATATGGTTCTTGACTGATTTTTCTGTGGATCAGTGGCCCCTGACCCAAAAATGGTTTCCGGCCCCTTTAAACTGTGCTAAATTTGTGCTATGGCTGAATCCCAGCCGGTCCAGTCGCAGTAGTTGGT